AAGGGTGGGATATGGCGTGAATTTACTGAGTACAGATAAATGACACCTGAGTCCTCAGGAATGGTAAATCATGGGGAGTATTATGGACGAAACAGTATACTCTATTATATCCATGCTACTGCTCATGTCTATAGGCGACGGTTACCACTTTCCATCAGATGGACCGGCTTGTTTGCCATTCTAAGTTACATAAAAAATACTACCATAAAGAACGGTCCTAAACCACCTGCAACCAATGACTCCTTGCAATGAAAAAAAAATACAAAAGACTCATGATTATATCCGTGTAATGTCAATTTCCGTGTGGTCCCGACATAGAATGGGCCACCCCTTTCTTTCCCGTGGGTGTTGTAAGAGACGACTAAGGGAACTTAATGGTTGAGGGACGTCCAGCAGCGTCCCTCTTAAAACATCACTAAATGCTAACTACGGTTGCCAATCCGCCTGCTCAGCGTGGCAACTACTAGCAAAACCCTCCAAGGGGGAGGCTTATGGTCTGGCTTATGGGGAGCAGGGGACAGTTAAAAGCTGATGTGATGAATGATTATGACAAAGTACCATGTCTGTTTCTTCTATAATTATCATTTACTACCGGAGGTTGGCAATTCCAACAAAGATTATGGCACATTTTATTATTTGGAAAAAGAACGTAACGTTTGGAAAATTTAAATACTCTTCGAATACTCTGAAAATAACTAAATATATGTATATATACATATATTTCTTAATTCCATCATATCATCGAAATGGTTAGATATATTTTAATAATAGAGTAAACAGGTAGATCGATATCATCGTTACGACCCAACGTTATTATAGGATAGATAATATAAAATGAAAGTAAATATGGCGGCATTAAAATACCATTAGGTTGAAATGAAACAACAATAAACTACAATATAATAGGCACATACTAAAAATACATATATATATCATACGGATAATAACCGACCAAGTGTTATTTAAATATAATTTAAAATTATAACCTCTATTTTTATTAATCAATCAATTTCGCAATTTAGCAAAAGCATTCATAAATAGAAATTACTTTTATTCATGTAAATTTAAATTTATTCATTTTTAAATATCTTTTTTAAGAGTCTCATCTCTATCAAAATATTTATCTAATCCGAGTTAAAATACGTACATCATCACGTTTTATAGCTTAAAAATAACACAAACCTATCCCTTTTACATAATAACAAGAAATCTTTATTTTTCACTCAGTGGAACAAATAAGTATAAAAGGGATTTCATATTTATTTGTTCCACTAAGTGAAAAATCTTCTGAGTTCGTATTTTTAATGATACTTAGAAAGATCAAAAGCGCTGACGGCCTACCTGATGGAAAGTGTTAATCGTCGCCTACGGTCATGAAGTGCCATTCCTGTCTGAAGATGACGGTATTATGCCTCCACATCCTGTAATTCCACTGCTATATACCTTCAAACTGAAACACAATCTTGCAATAACAACTACTTCAGAAATACGCAGAAATACGAATAAAATACCTACTTTGTATAAGTCAGATTCATTATCATTTCTTTCCGATTTCTAAAAAGACTAGAATTCTTTTAGAAATCAGAAACGACTGTCACTCACTTTATAATACGGAGGGCGCATAAACCTATTTGCCTAAAGCCAGGTAGCTCGCGTATTTCTTATGGAAAACTAACGAAAGGGACCTAAACTTAGATTATACAGATAGAGTGCTCCATACAAAGGCTCAGCTAAAAACAGGTCAACTTTTTATCTGTACTGCGTTAATATGGTTACCATAATGTATATTTATTACTAAGTATATGGGAGAAAATATATTATAAGATTAAATAGAAAATTAAGACGGATAAGACAAAATATATTTATTTGAAAGAATCAGATTAACAGCTCATAATGATTTGATATGGCGTAAATTTACTGGGTATAGAGGAATAACATCTGAGTCCTCAGGAATGGCAACGCATGGGGGGTATCATGGGCGAAACAGTATATTCTGTTATGTCCATGGTACTGCTCATGTTTATAGGCGACGGTTACCACTTTCCATCAGGTGGGCCGTCAGCTTGTTTGCCATTCTAAGTTGTAAAAAAAAAAAACTTTGTATAATATTGTACTTTGTTTTCATAATACTGACTCAAGGGTAAAAAAGTTAGACAAAGTGTGTGTGTGTCTGATTGAATTTCCTTACCCTTTCCAGATATTACCGTCGTATTAAGGGACTCCTAATGCATTGTTCATAGAAGGGAGTTTATGTATTTACGAACGTATCTAATGTATTATGGAAGATCATTTTTCTAAGGAATGGATAACTATTAGTTACTGTCACAGAATTTTATTTTTCTTTTTTTTTTGTACAACTTAGAATGGTAGGCAAGCTGACAGCCCACCTGATGGAAAGTGGTAACCGTCGCCTATAGACATGAGCAGTGCCATGGACATAACAGAGTATACTGTTTCGCCCATGATACCTCCCATGCGTTGCCATTCCTGAGGACTCAGGTGTTATTCCTCTGTACCCAGTAAATTCACGCCATATCCCACCCTTCAAACCGAAACACAGCCATGCAAACAACTGCTTCACGGTTGAAACACGAATGGAACAGAGATATCCAAGCAATCGACTTTTGTAAAAAGTCTCCCTCTGGTAAATTAGAGGTAGGTTTTTTATTTTTACGTGTCTGTTGTTATGTGTGTTTTATAATTTTATGTTATTCTATAAGCTGTATGGTTCCGGCATAGAATGGGCCACCCCTTTTTTCATGGGTGTCGTAAGAAGTGACTAAGAGAACTTAATGATCCATGAGTGGGCAGCAGCTTCGATCTTAAAACATCACTAAAAGCTAACTGTGGTTACCAACCCGTTTGCCAAGCATGGCAACTACTGGCAAAACCCCCCAGTATGGGCAGGCCCATGTTCAGCAGTGGATAGTTAACGCTTGGTATGATGTTGATAATGATGATATTGTTGTTGGTGATGATGAAGATGATTAAATATATCAATATCTTTAAAAAATAATAGATTTTGTTTGACAAAAAAAAACAACTACAAACATGTTTTTTTTTAATGGGTGATAATGGAATGGTAACCCCGCCTACGCCATTACGATACGCTGGCGGGGCACCAGTGAAGGATGATAGGTGAGGATGAAGCAGGCCAGTTGGCCATCGTGACGAATTCAACAAGAATTGTACACGATAATTTCCAGGGGGAACCACGTGGAGGTTGATCTGATAGGGCATATTGCTAGCAATGGGGCTGTCAAACTCCATTGCTAACAATCCCTTTCCCCCCGGTACAAACATGATAAAACCGGTTAGTTATTTTGTTTTAAAACCAATCGCTACTGAACCGATATTAGTGTTTTTTTTATGTGATCAGTCTAGAAGTACGTCTACTCTTTCAGATACAAAATAGAAGAATTTTTTAAATCAGTTTACACTTAAATACAATAAAGTAGCAAAAATAAAAAAAATATACAACCTATTTTTGTTGAGGGGAAAGGGATTGTTAGTAATGGAGACTGAGAATCCTATTGCTACCAATATACCCAACCAGGTCGACCTCCACGCGGTTCTCCTTGGAAACTATCATGGTTAATACCTGATGAATTCACCATGATGGGCTAACTGGCCTGACTTCATTCTCATTTATCACCCTTCACTGGTGCTCCGCCAGCGTATCCTGTTAGCGCAGGCGGGGTTACCATACCATTTTCACCCATAAAAAAAAAACCTATTTTTGTTGTAAAACTCAACTTTTATTTGAAATAAAGCAAAGGTTGACTTTTCATCCATTTATCCATCGTTATAACGCTTTCGAATTTATATAGATATAGTTAACAAGGGGCAGTTATTCGTTCGGTTATAATAATATTATCCCATATCTTTAGAGTTACGGTAGCCATTGTTTAAAACGAGAACTAATACTCGGAAAGTGTATGTTTCATTAAATTTTCAATTAACCTATCAAATCCACACACTTTCATCCCGCCTGCCCGAACTCAATGCACATTGAGAAGAGCTATGATTTCATAAGTAAAACTCATTCCAACTGCTGGCTGAAAGGCTGTTTATTCTATGGTATAATTAAATAACTGTTCTTGAAAGAAAGTTTGTTTTTATAAGAACAGAACCGAGTCAGATTACGGGTACTTAAATTAATTCAGCGAGATCCCGAAAGCGCTTTGAGATGCAAAGAAAGACAAAAGAATTTTTAATATTAGATATGATAATATGAGTACATTTATTGTTAGCAGTGAGATAACATTCACGGGATGAAGTTGAAATAACAGAAAAATGTTTTTATGGGAAATAATTGCGCTGCTGGGACGCATGCGCGCGACGTTCAGAGCTTATAAATTACTCAAAAACGTTGCCAGTGAAGCGAAATATCCTCAAATGTCTGGACAGATTGGTACTTAAAAATAATTCAAAATTTGCCCTATTTACACAGGGAAAGCTTGTGTGTAATATTTTCTATAGGGCCCCCTTATCACCATCAATTAATGGACTTCGTGCATTTACTAAGATAAAGAATTATTTTGAGACACCTGTGGTCCTCAGTCGCTGGCCAATTTTAAAAAAATTTTGGAAATCAAAATCTCCCTATTACGTACGTGATCTGTAGACAAACTCTATATGATTATTCCAATTTTTAAACAATTTTATTTACGTCTACAGTTATTAATTAATAAAGAAAAATGGCTGGGATAATTAGTGTTAAAAAATGTTAACTCATAGTGGCCAGTAATATACGAATCATATAACGTAATCAAACTTCTTTGAGAGAGAAACAGTCGACTATTTCAACGTTAGCAGCCAGACTTTCAAACGAATTTTTAAAAAAATGTTTCTGTTAAATCATTCCAAATTGTAGGTTTATTTTAGCCAAATTTATGGCCAGTAAAAATTAATAGTTTAAGGGTGTACACTCTACCTGGCAACACTTTCCCTTGTATCATATTAAGTTGACGTTTGCTTTCAGTGTATGCCAGGCATCAGTGGGGACCACCCGCGTTCCCTTGACAATTTCACCCCGCGCACGTGTTTCGCTTTCAGTCATAAAGTGTTTTATGTGTGTTTCTCGTACATTTAAAGTTGTTATTGATATTTGGTGATGTGATATAAAGTGTTTGGTGAAACATGGCTGTATTGTTGCTGCTCAGCTTTGTTATTGGTAAGTGGATTTGTGAATTTGGAGTAATTAGCTAATTTACTTTTAGAGTGTGGACGAAATATTGGTAACGGGTTTGTATTAAAAAAAATATTTACATAAGAAAAAAAATGACTATTCAAAAATATTTATTTTTAAGTTTACTTGAATAAAGAATATTTATTATTAATGAATAATAATTACTAGTGATTTCCCTTGGTTTTGCACGGGTAGACAGGATGTACAGTTGTAACTATAGTAGCATTTCAATTTTTTTAAGTGAAAATTTTTTAGGCGCTTTGGGCATTTTTTTTTATGGGAAAAAACCATTGAATTCACATCACTGTTACCCTTACAACTGACACTGACACTAACACTGTGTATATAAGTATATATATATATATATATATATATATATATATATATATATATATATATATATATATATATATATATTGTGTATGTACGTACATAGATACACATGCATGTTGGCATTGTTGGCATTTTTTTAAATGGGAAAATCCATTAAACTCTCGGCACTTACCGTTACCGTAACCGATACCTCTGACGATTCAAAAAATACAGACGCAATTGTTTTAATTTTTCACTTCTGTCGGCACTCCCGGAGTGCCACTGTTTTTTTTTTGTAAATAAAAATAAATAATTTACCCGCTGATAATATAGTTTTCGGTGAAATAATTTAATTTTTTTTTAAGTTTCTCTATTACTAGCGATCCGTCCCGGCTTCGAACGTATAAATATGTAGATAGAAAGATAGATGAGTATTTTGTGTTACAAGTGGTTTAAATAAGCTAATTTCTGATACTTTGGATTACATTATTGTAATTTTCTTAAGTATATCTATTTTTTTTTAAATAATATATAGCTTATTACTTGTTGATGATGATGATACATTTTGATAAGTGAAACAATTTTTTAAATTGGTTGAGTTGTTTTTAAGTTTACACATTACAAACAAATATATATTACGTACGTAATTGATAAATTTTTACTTAACATGTGCTAAGACAAAATTTGCATGCCTTTATATAAGGCGAAATGTGTAGCTCAGTTACCATTTAAGACCTTTGTACCACATTTCAAGTAAATAAATTATTCTTATTCTTTAAACAATAAAATATTTCCTCCTTAGTATTATATATTAAATGTAGAAAAACTAAAAGTTAAATCTTTTCATACATTTTGTTTGTGGAATATTATTAATTGACTTTAAATGATTTTAAATTCTACGTAGTGTAATTAAGCTGACTTTTCTGTGAATGCTTTCCTTTTACACAGAGGTTTATGTTTCTAGAAATAAAGTTTTATTCTTTTAATATTGCTTTTAATATTTTTTTTTAATATTTCTTTTAATATATATCGACATTTGAATTACCTTTGAAGTGTAAATTAACACTAATATTTTGATGTCTGCCTTTATATTGTTTTGGATATTTAAAAATAATCCTGACTAATAATTGTAAAAAATATCGTTTTAACAGTTTAACTAATTACTATGAAATTTGATATATACATACTATATGTAGGACGACCCTCCTCCCATTAGATGGAGTGACGACCTGAAATGCGTTGCAGAAAGTCAGTGGATGCATGTGGCTCGAGACCGTTCTTTATGGCAGAGTATGGGGAGGCTTATGTCCAGCAGTGGACGGATAATGGTTGAAATAATGATGGTACTATATGGAATGGTGAAGAAGACAACGCGACTGCGTGCTTGTCGATTACTATCGGCGCCGCCGCTTCGCACCTGTACTGCTCAGTTTGCTCCCACTCATCAGGCTATTTCTTTGCTCAATTCTCTGATTGCTCAGCAGCCAGATATTGATATATTTAATGACAAATTAAATAGATTTTCTAAATGGTGTTTAAGTTTCTAAAATGAACGTATGACTTACTTTACGTTTTGGGAAATTTTGCGTGTAGTAAGCAATTTATAAATATTTTTTTTTATACAACTTAGAATGGCAAACAAGCTGACGGCCCACCTGATGGAAAGTGGTAACCGTAGCCTATAGACATGAGCAGCACCATGACTATGCTGACTTTTAGCCACACCTTTGACCGTATGACCGCGTTATGACCGGAATAAAAAGTAGCCTATTTGTATTTATTTACCAGAGGGAGACTTTGTACAAAAGTCGATTGCTTGGGTACCTCTGTCCCGTTCGTGTTTCTACCGTGAAGTAGTTGTGTTTGCATGGCTGTGTTTCAATTTGAAGGGTAGGATATGTCAGTGAATCTACAGGGTACAGAGGAATAACACCTGAGTCCTTAGAAATTGCAACGCATAGGGGGTATTATGGGCGACACAGTATACTCTGTTATGTCCATTGTACTGTTTACATCTGTAGGCGACGGTTACCACTTTCCATTAGGTGGACCGTTAGCTAGCGTACCATTTAAAATTGCATCAAACAATATATAAAAAAATATTTTTAAAAAAGGTTCTTCCAAAATGCCGTAAAGAGGTTTATTTAATTCATTATAATTGGTACTTCATTTTCTCGCACTGTATATATATATGTAATAGGCATGTGCATTAATATTGTATTGTATTTAATGTTTGTTATATGTGTTATAATGCAATATGCTGTTGGTGTTCCTTTAAATAAATAAATAAATGATAAAAACTTTAATAAGCAAAAGGAAAAATTAACTATAATTAATAAATAGTTGTCGGTGCAGTGAAAGCAATGATTTTCGATTCACTAAAATGAGGAATAACGTGATTGCTACACCATGGTAGTGTGGGCAGACAAAGATTGATAGCTTGATATTTGTAATTGTATATAATATATTACATACATACATATCTGTCACGCCTGTCTCCCATTAGGGTAGGCAGAAATGTATTAATGAATTGTATTAAACATGTGATATTTATATAATTAAGAAATGAAATAGTTTGACGAATTTCTCGAGAATTGCCAGAGGGAGACTTTATACAAAAGTCGTTTGGCACCTCTGTCCCATTCATGTTTCTACCGTGAAGCAGTTATGTTTGCATGGCTGTGTTTCAGTTTGAAGGGTGGGATATGGCAGTGAATCTACAGGGTACAGAGGAATCACACCTGAGTCCTTAGGAATTGCAACGCATAGGGGGTATCATGGGTGAAACAGTTGTATTCTATTTGCTATTCTGAGTTGTATAAAAAAAAAATAAGCACGATGGTTTCCAGGGGGTACCGTTTGGAGGTCGACCTGACAGGGTATGTATACAGAAATAGGGTTTCTAGTTATCTTTACTAATAATTCCTTGTCCATCTGCCATAGGGCATGAGAAAAGAATACCAGATGAAAGATTGGATAAATGAACTATACAAAAGTGGTTGAATGTAGGTACCAGGGTAGACTTGAACTAGCCTATTATGATCAGATAGACCGTATTATATATGGAATAAGAGTTAAAATTATTCAATACCGACATGCTTAGATGAAATGAGTTAAGAAATTATAGGAAGAAAGAGATAGGAAGGATATAGACCTTTGGCATTCAGTTACCTCTACTTACCCCGTAAGGGACTTGAAATAGCGTAAAAATAGACAGAATTTATTATATCCACTTGTGTAAATTAGCTCTAGAATGAATGTGCCAAGTTATTTTTGCCTCATATCCATTTGCTTTCATTGAATTAATTATTCACGTCGACTCTGTGACCTTTTCTTTTGTATTTTTTTTTACTAAGTTTTATATTATTTTGAAAGAAACAAAATACTATCTATCTATTGGCAGTACACGTTTTTTTTATGGGTGAAAATGGAATGGTAAGCCCGCCTGCGCTAACGGGATACGCTGGCGGAGCACCAGTGAAGGGTGATCGATGAGAATGAAAACAGGCCAGTTAGCCCATCATGATGAATTCATCTGGAATTAATCATGATAGTTTCCAGGGGTAACCGCAAGGAGTTCGACCTGGTTGGGTATATTGCTAGCGATAGGATTCTCAGTCTCCATTATTAACAATTCCTTTGCCCCCCGGCAGTAGACGTTTAAAATATATAAATGGAAACCTTATTCTACTACCGTACTAGATAATACCTGCATCTTCGTCCGCTTGGGATATACTCACTGATTGGGATTAATAGAAGCCTGCCCCCTGCCATAATTTCATATCAAAAATACTGTGATTGATGGGGGGGGGGGGAAAGGGATTGTTAGTAATGGAGACTGAGAATCCTATTGCTAGCAATATTCCCAACCACGTCGACCTCCTCGCGGTTCCCCCTGGAAACTATCATGGTTAATTCCCGATGAATTGATCATGATGGGCTAACTGGCCTGTTTTAATTCTCATCTATCACACTTTACTGGTGCTCCGCCAGCGTATCCCGTTAGCGCAGGCGGGCTCACCATTCCATTTTCACCCATAAAAAAAAAATACTGTGATTGCTTGTAGTTTCGTATCATTGTCATTTTATTTTCAAATAAGAAGTTTGTAATAGTCGTTTTATCCGGTCATATTTTATTTCTTGTAAACTTAAATTTCATTTGAGAAAGGCAATAGCTGTGTTTCTTGCCCGTTCTTCTCAGCTGAAATTACATTCCGTACTGGCCGGTGTATTTATAAGATAAATGACGATTCAAAAATGGTTATTATTAAGTTTTTTTGAATAAAAATTTATTTATTATTATTATCATCACATATATAAAAAATATATCAAATTGTCGTAAATATCAAATTTCATAATTTGAATTTAGATTGATTGGTTAAGGCGCTAAGAAGTAACAAAACAAACACACTTTTACTCTTATATATATATTTTTTTATACAACTTAGAATGGCAAACAAGCTGACGGACCCACCTGATGGAAAGTGGTAACCGTCGCCTATAGACATGAGCAGTACCGTGGACATAACAGAGTATATACTGTTTCGCCCATGATACCCCCCATGCGTTGCCATTCCTGAGTACTCAGGTGTTATTCCTCTGTACCCAGTAAATTCACGCCATATCCCACCCTTCAAACCGAAACACAGCCGTGCAAACACAACTGCTTCACG